TTACGAGCCGTCAGACTATGAGTACTCGGACGAGGAGGAGGATGGCGAGGACGGTCCAGTCGACCAGATTGGACTGGATTCTGATGACGGTGACGCTGAAGATCAACAAGAGGCTTCGGCGGCTTCTGTCGAAACCCAGGAATCGCGAGAGTCCAGTGCAGTAAATGGTATTCAGCGCGTGACCAGCAATGACAGCTTGAGAAAGGAAACAGCATCGAGCCCCGTCAAGGGTCAACCATCACACTCTATTTCAGAGCCGCGACAAAGCGACGAACTCGTCCAGCGCTCGAGGAAAGGGGTTGTCAGAAACACCGACTCATTCTTTAAGGACGATACAGTCGAGACGAAGAAGATCTCTCTGACACCCCGACTGCTACGAGGTGATTCTGATTCCGGCGGATCAGCGGAACAGGAAGTTCGCCAACGTCCAAGCCTGGAGACTTTCGATAAGATTGTCGGCGTGGATGACAAGTCGAAGGAGAAAAAGAAGGAGAAAAAGGGTATGCTCAGTGGGCTCTTCAAGCGCAAGAAGGGCACGCCACAGGAAGAGAGCGAAAAGGCTTTGGAAGATCCTCGTCAGTCTCCTGGATCGAAGGACTCTGTAGAGTCCTTGACCATGAAGCCTGAAACTGGGCCTGAGCGCAGACCGAGCAAGTTGCAAAAGACGCCACCGGGACCATCACCAACACCAAAGGCATCACCTACTGAAGCACGCCCTCCACAACAATCAACCGGACAAACCCCTCCAGCCCCGACAGGGCCAGCACCTGACCCGCCAACCGTACGCAGAGTTGAGCCTGATGAGAAGTCGCCCGAGGCGTCGGACCAATCTCAACAAGTACAGGTCAATCGTTTCCCCTCACTTACCGAAAAGAGGACAGTATATTCACCCGTCACGACGGCTCTGAAGTCTACTCCGTTGATGAGTCCAGATAGCGGATCACCGGTCAAGCCGGTTTCTACAAAGCGGTCAATGGATCGCTTTGCGATCGATGAAAGTGATTCAGAAACAGACGACAAGACTCCAAAGGTGGACGAGCGAGTCCACCAGAGTTTTTCTCCCATTGCAGAGTCAGAGATACAACCGCCTCGATCAGACTCTGCTGCCCAAGTCTCGGCCACTTCGCCTATTGTCTCCGGAAAGTTTGGGGACAGCAAATTCCAAGCTCTGCCACCAGCGGTCTCGAGTTCGTCGCCACTACCACAAGAGCTTATCCATTCAGAGTCAGATGGGACTGTCAGCACTTCAAAGGCTTCCCCTTCGACTACAACACATACCCCGTCAACTTCCAGGTCGACACCGACGTGGTCAGATGCCTCGTTGAGATCATATATGGAAAACAGTCAGGACATCAAAGATCTTCTGATCATTGTGCACGACAAATCGAATGTCACTCCGGTGGGCCCAGACCATCCCTTGATGCACAATCTCTTCTTAGACGAGCGGACGAAGTTGGCTGAGATGCAGTCACAGCTTGACACTATGCTGATGTCCTGGATATCGAAGAAGAACGGGGTCATGGCATCTCCAACCATTTGATCAACAGCGAGCTTGGGCTCGGTTGACTTTGACCTTAACTATTGTACAGTTTTCATTCTCGGCATGTCGGAGCTGCTGCTCGGCATTGTACCATTAGGGCCTGGTGTTCTTCTTATTGAACTTTGTCATGACGATATATCTAGGAAACAATGAACGATGAGCGATCGGAGATACACATAGGGTATGCATGTGTACAGGTATTCCTTCTGCGTCAAGTCGGGGACGGCCTATTCTATTGGAAAGGCGGAAAAGGAGGGAACAACTGGGTTATGGAATGAGGTTTCATTTGTGGATACTGGCTTCGAGTTGCTAGTGATAGCCTCAAATTGGTCCAACCGATTTGGGAACAAGACATATCGCTTGCGCACGAAAGAAGTCCTCGGACTTGTAGATTTCCATGGTATGAGAGTCGTGCGTCTCTGATAGCTGTCGTTTGCGATCACGTGATCGTGTGGTTCCAATATACCCACTTCCTACCTCGCTACCTACAATTATAACACACAACAGGTGCTTAGGTTCAGCGACTCGTTCATGACTTTCGCTCAGTCTCTTATCTAGGGACTAGTTAAGGGTTGAAGCTTCGTTTTCAAGTTCCCAGAGCTTTCTTCAAGACACATAAAAGCTGCCCGCCGCTCGTTTCTTTACGGCCGAAGCCAAATTCGCTTCATGGATTCTTTGCTCCAGCATGTCTGTCACGGTACGTATCACAGCCGCCCTTGCTACGACATATCTGCATGCTCATCACAAGCTATAGCTCCATACAACCCATGGTGATCTGAAGGTCGAAATCTTCTGCGAAGCTGTGCCGAAAACAGCGGAGAACTTCCTTGCGTTATGCGCCTCTGGCGCCTACGATGGCACCCCTTTCCACCGACTGATACCTGAGTTCATCATTCAAGGTGGCGACACGTCCTTGTCTCGCCGGAATGCGACTGCAGAAAGACCCGTTGTCAAGGGCGGGGAGTCAATATGGGGAGGATATTTTGAAAATGAGATCAAAATCCCTGCGTTGAGACACAGCGGGCGAGGGATGGTGTCGATGGCAAATAAAGGGCCCGACACCAATGGAAGTCAGTTCTTTGTCACGCTCGCAGAGGCGGCTCACTTGGATGGCAAGAATACGGTTTTTGGACGAGTGATTGAAGGTGTAGAAGAAGGCGGTACACTGGACAAGATGGAGGCCGTCGAGGTGGACAAGAAATACCGCCCAAAGGAGAAGATCATCCTGGAGAAGGTGACGATTCATGCGAATCCTCTAGCAGGATGAATTGGAAGAGGAAGATGGCGCAGCTAGAACCCCACGACCGGGACGCAATACCCCTCAGCGATACGATCCACAGCTTGGACCGAAACAGACAGCCAAAGCGAGGCTCAGGAATATGTCAAAAGAGAAGAGCTAGAGGGAAAGGTCAATCGAGCGGCCACTCCAGATCTGGAAAGCAAACACCTGTGTTGAGACGAGCGATGCTAGTCAAGTACAAAAAGGTCAGCTAAGAAGTCGTTCAGCACCACGTATCGCCAACCAGAGCCCCTTGCTCTCCCATTTTTTTAGTCGACCTTGATATTGGTGGGAAGCTCAGTTATGCACCCCAGAAAAATATTGCAAAAGAACCATTATGGTGGAATATCGTATTCCAATGGACAGCGGATCGGATCGGGCGAGGAGACACATCATGAATGGTTGACCCTTCGGAAACCAAATATTGACACGACGGTGCCCACTCCAGGTTGACCAAATACTCGCATGCCTCTGGTCTCACCTGTAACGGCTGAGAAGGAATGTCACCATATGTTTGATGTCGGTCGGATATGCCCTGTTCTCCGATGTGGTCGTGGTTGACCGGCCTGCGGGCCAAGAGCATGGATGTGTTGTTTCTCAAGCGTCTCCGCTGGCAAAAAATGTCAGCCGCTCTGTGGACGGACTTGACGAGTGGATAAAGTCAGGCAACCCGAATTGGCATGTTGATGGACGGGATGCGGAGGAGGTTAGCGCAGCACGGCGGACGCGTCCTAGCCGATATATATTTGTGACTAGGTTGTTAGATGGAAAAGGGTCTCTCAATGGACCTATTTCCCAAGGGTGTTGGGAGGGGAAACAGATGCTGACCGTGGCTTGAAGTCGGAGGATTATTGCCGAAATGGCATAACTGGGATGCATCCAAACAGCCACAGTGGGTGACGAAGGACGACAAACGTGGCTTTGCAGCCAGGAAGCAAGCGGGGGGCGCAGTTGGCCATGGGGCATGGGCACTGGACAGCCGTGGGCGGTACGCAATAGGCGGCGCCGTTGACGAGGCGGCGGGTGGCTCGGGTGGCTCTGGTACCCTACAAGTAGGAGGAGCTTTGGTAGTTCTAGGTAAGCTAACTGGCCTGCATAAGGCTGAGGCGCCCCGCCACTTTAACGGGATTTCATCTGGTCGATAACCACCAACAGAGACAATACTTGTCGGGGAAACATTACGGACAACATATCATCTTGGTGACCACGGCTGCTCGAGCCGAAAGACTCCCTTATCGGACAACCGAGTGATTCACCGTCATAGTGCTGACTGGTGAGAAATTTTCCAAGTCGTCCATGTCATCAACCGGAGAGCTTCGCATCATCGAGGTGTACTCGGTACTTGTAGGGCAGCCGCAGGGACATGGATGGGCGTTGTGGTGAGCTCTAGTTAGGCACGGGAAATCCCAAAAGCACGGGAACTGGTCTGCTGGGTATGGGTGGGCATTATTATATATTAGAGGCCGACACTAGAGTGGTGGGCACTGGGGTCTGGATCTCTAAACAGCATACCTAGGGATCAATAGGCTACCTGGGTGCCCAGAACAAAGCCCCAGGAGTGTCAGGGCCGGCCTTGCCTGTAAAGTCCTGCATTTGCTTGTGTGGTGCGTTGCTGTGCGGCGCATGCTTCACGTAATAAGGAAGCCCCCGACGCTGTACCAACCGACTTGACCTGAACTGACTGACTGACTGACCGACCAACTGAATCCGTTCTCCTCGTATAATATTCCAATCGATCTGCGCTTGGGTCCAGCCGCGCTCATATTCCAGCTCATCACATCCCATCTTCACCTCATATCTCATCGCCGTATATTCTTTGGAAATCTCCATCATCGACCCTCCGTCATCATCTCTCGCTCCCACTCTCCCCCCGCTACCAAACCTCGACTCTGCGCACGCCTCTGACCCGCCCTTGTCATCACGCAGTTCGGCCCCCAACATCACACCGACGTCCACTACCCACCAGCCTATTGATCGTACGACAAAGAACCTACAACAACGAATCCCGCATTGTTCTGCATGTAACATCCTCTGGCGCCTCATGGGCCTCATACTGTCCCTCAGAACTAGGCCGCCGCAGTTCTCCAATCCTACCACTTTTCTCCGAGGCCGCACTCACAGGACCACCTCACTCCCGCCTCGTGGTAATGGTCTCAACATAGGTTCGAGCTCAAAGAGAAGATGAGCGCTTTTGTGCGAGTATCTGGCCGCCCAAACACAAACTTTCTGGTTGGATACCCGGGCATCTCTGCTACTTTGGTGAGTTGAGGAAACATTCAACCCCCCAACCCCTCCGAGCGACGGACGCCGAGTTGCGCTTGATAGCCCAAGAGGATGCGCTGCTGACAATGCTCAAATCCAGCCTCGCATCGAAGGAACTGTCGAAATACGACCCGGCGTCGGCATCTCAAGTCCTGTCAACGTCTCCATCGTCACCATCTGCCTGCAGAGAAGAGAAAGCATTCACCCCCATGCTGATTCGGTCACCAAGAAACACCTGGCCGCGCCCAGGAAGGAGTCGACGGAGACGGTGGGAAAAGAGATGCTCTTATTCCGATGTCCGGCCAACCGAGAGTACGAAGAGATCATGTACATGGACTTGCCCTTTGTGATATTCATACCTTTTGGACGGGGAGGACAAGAGACTGCCCGACGAGTACCGCCGGCGAGCCTACAACTACCACGGCGGACGGCCGAGACATACTACGAGATGGTGGTGACAGTGGGCTATGGAGGAACCGATCGCAAAACCTATGCTTTCCCCGTACCCATCGCACGGTACGACACTCTCTCGACCTTTGGCATGTACAATCGACCCGAAACTGCAGAAAGGGTCTCGGATCACTTGGTGACTCTAGGGATATCCTTGCCGCGGTGGTCGTATGGGCCTCTGGACCCAGTGAGCGTGTACATCAAGCTATCTCCGAATCCGGACTGGCTGAGCAAAGCGCGTAAAGTGACCATCAAAAAGATCGAGATCGGCATCGACGAAGAGGTCATCTACAATCACGAGGGCGACGAGCCCCAGAGAAAGTCAAAGAGTTTGGTCAAAAAGACCGAAACGGTTGGGGTGAAGATGCCCGAAGCGGGTTACTTCACCAACCTAGGTCTTGTCTTCCCTTCGAGCGACGTCCGTGATGCGGATGGAATTATGCCTCGAGGGAGATCGGCGTTTCCTACATATGCGGTGACGGGCTTTACGACGACGGCAGGTCTTTACAAGGTCGAATACTACCTGACCATCAAGGTATGTTAAAGGAGTTTCCGACTGCCACGTTGACACAAACAGCCTCAAAATTAAATAGCTAACTGATCTTTCTTTTAGGCTTCTATGGCCGGCGCCAAAGATATCGTACTGAAGCAGCCCATTGTCGTCTGTCCCTTGGACCACGCAGCATGTAAAGCGGAGATGGAAGCCATCGAACAGGCAGCACGCGACGCCTCTCATGTCAACGCCGAAAACCCAATGTTACCTTTGGCCACTATAATACGCGCTTCGGACCCTAATGCATTGAGTTGTCTGGGGGTGGCGCTCGTCGGCTCAGTGAAGAAGCCCTTGATTGACTGAGCACTTCTTTGTAAGATTTCGGGGAGGATTATGTCAAGTTTCGATCGACCTGCAACCGATACGACGGCGACGAATCGTGTGATTCCCGACGCATGGCCCTGCAGAGGGGCTACATGCTTCTCAAGACACGCTGATCCGCTTCATAATAAAGCAACGGATCTTATCGTGCGGCACATCCAAATCGGGCGGAGATATGGGACAAGCGATTGACGGCCGGGACATCACTCTCAGAGGCCGGGATATCACAATGAAGGACCCAGACCTGCACCACAAGCGGCAGGAATGTTTCTGTTTCCACGACGGCCAGCAGAGTCAGGATCACACACAGCGTGAAACGGAATGACGCAACCTAAGCGAGGCGAGCAAACAGCCGCCTACAGACACAAGTCATTGAGGGACGCTGAATTTTTGGAAAGGTAAAACACGACCCGGCGAACATTACGGCGGGCGGACCTTGTTGCACAAGCGGGAACGTTGGATTTGTTGCGGCCTTGATCTTTTTTTGAAACGCAAGGCGTTGGTTTGGGACGAGGCTTTATTAGCAGGAGGACGAAAGGCCACGGCAATATGATGGCTTGGAATAGGTACAGCCAGAGGCGCTAATGAAAGGTCTACTTGTATTCACCGACACTTTGCGACAGCCAACTAGGCTCAGATTTGATCTATGGACATTTGATAGGTGATAACCTGAGTCATGGGATGTCATTATTACAGGTTCCGCCTTGTTGTGCAGTAGAGAGATTAGGGAGACGAGATGTTGAAAGCGTCGACAACCAACCAACTTAGCCCAACCGAGGTAGGGTGTGTGTGTGTGTGTGTGTGTGTGTGTGTGTGTGTGTTATGGGCGAGATGAACCAGAGAACAAGAGGTAATGTGTAGACCACGAAAAGGAAAGGAAAGGGAAGGGAAAGGATGCTGGCTATACTATCACCACCCGCAGATTCCTCGGCTGACAAGACAAGATGACGGCTGAAGATCGACAGCTGACTATGGTTTTATATTATGGAATAATATGTCGGTATGTATCTAGTTGGCAGTGATGGAGTCGAATCCCTCTAGTAGTATTCATAGGCAGGTGGAATGAATGGAAAGTGGTCTGGCCTGGCTTGCTGGTTTGCTGGTTTGCTGGGTACCCCAGGTCCCTACTAATAGGGGTATAGAAGGGGGGGTATTCTTATTATTATTATCGACATGGGAAAATCCCAGCCTTGCACTAAAAAGCTAGAGATCCCTTGTACCAAGTACCAAGTACCGAGTACAATTCTCAGACATACGTACATACATACATACATACATACATACATACATACATACATACATACATACATACATACATACATACATACGACCTACCTACCTAGTATGTAGGTAGACAAGTCAACTCCTTACTCCGTTCTCGTGCATTTTTCACACTTTTGAAGGGAAAAAAAGGGGGTAAAAAGTCTTTCATAACCATGGTTACCACGACCAACAACCCCTAAAAACAAGAAATGAACTCTGAGGGGTAGCCGAGCAGCGAACACAGAGAGACAGACATTGACGGACCGACTGGCCGAGAGAGAGAGAGAGAGAGAGAGAGATCGATCAAGTCAAGTGAATCGCAAGGGGTAATGGCCATCATCATCATCAATAACCAGACCCAACCGTCGTCTCTGTCTTTGTCTGTGTCTCCAGGACCGCAACAGGAACAAGACAACCACAAAACCTCGACGCCCGTCGCCATTGACATCGACCCAGGTGGACCTGATCCTTCTCCTTCTACAACCACCACAACCACCATCACAATAGGGCAAGTCGAGGCTGAGTTCGAGGTCGAGGTTCAGGACGTGCTGGCCACGATCCGCGCCAACCTCGCCCTCGTTGAGCGTACCTGGGGCCGCGAGAGTCGGCAGCACCGCGACGCGAGGGCCCTCATGCTGGCCTATCTCGAGGAGAATGTGCTCCGCCACAGGCACCGACACCACCAGCGGGAGAGGCACCCGCACAGGCACGAGGCGGTTGGTGGGCAGGGAGAGGGGGAGGGAGAGGGAGTTGCGGATGTGGACATGACAATGGACACAGGCACGAGAACGGGATCGGATATGGCTATGGCCATGGATATGGATAGGGATATGGACACGAAGAGGAAAAGGGAACTGGAACTAGAGCTGGATAGAGGCATCGAAGAGGTGTTGGCCGAGTTGAGGTTGTCGTGATACCTACTCCGAGTAGAAACGTCGAGGTCGCTTCTTCGTCTACATTCCTACACTGGCAGACTGGGAATTGATCAAATGATAGGATCAATGCATGAGCGAAATGAATGAATGAATGAATGATATGGGATGGGATGGGATGGCCCTCCTCTCTTCGCTCGCTCATATCCTCGTACCCTTCACGTACACCAACGCCAACACCAACACCACCTTTGTCTCTCACTCTCGCAAGTCAGAACATCTACGAGACCGCAAATAAAACAATCCATGGCACAAGCAAAACATACAAACTCGTTTCTGATCCTGTGTATTTTTGACAAGATGGGTAATGGGTAATGGGTAATGGGTATCTTCTAGCCCCTGTTGGTGCTACATTTATGCTTCTTTTTCTTTTTGCTCACTGCGGCCTCTGCGCCAGTCTTTCTCCGTAGTAGTACATGACAATGCTCATCCTGTTTCCCCCCAGTCATGGGTTATTGTACAAAGCATCACATCTCGAATCTCGTTACCAGGTCCACAGGAGCACGACAAACTTGCCTCGCCCAGCAAACCAAATCGTCGCCTCCCGCCCCTCCCCCCAAAAATTGACGCTCGCTGCACCTCGTCGCTTGATGCGCATCTCAAGAAAAGAAAAAGCAGCTCTTGCTCAAAGCTCACGTTGTGCCCAGAACGGCCGTCATTTGTATTGTGTGTCGTCGTCGTTATCGTCCATGTTCGTTGTTGCTTACCGCGCCGAGTTTGCGTAGACATTAAGTGATGGTCCATAAACCAACTCGATGGCGCCTCCCCCGAATTATGGTCTGCTTTGCTGGCGGACACACAGACCTCCTAGTTGCAATGCATACAAGTAAACGGTAATCATTCCTGTGCGCGGATATTGGATCATTGAGATTGATCCGCTCCCGTCTGCCCACTCCTGCAGATATCGACCGACATCACCACGCTTCTAGGAGGAGCACAGTCAAAGCGGCAAATACCAATATTGCACCGTGCAGCTGCAGAGTGTGCGACGAAGCAGCCGAAGAGAATGTCCCATCAAAGGGACTTCCTCCACCACTGCCTCCCCCTGAAACTTGTGAGTTTGCTGCCCTGCTGGACGAAGCTGCTGAAGAAGTGCTCGAGCTCTCCGAGGAAGATGAGGTGGACGTGAGGGTCGAAGTCGTAGATTCAGATGATGTAGAGGACGACTGATTAGTGCTTTCGGAAGTGCTACTAGTAGTCTTGGTCGCAGACGCAGTCGCGCTCAAAGAAGTTGTGAGCGTAGACGCCACTGACGATGTCTCGGTGGTGCTCGTTTCCGATGATGCTGTGCTGCTCATCGATGTCTCTGCAAAAGTCGAAGTCTGTGTCGCTTCGGTCGTCTCCTGCGTTGTTGACGCGAGTGTGGCGCCAGTATCAACGTTCCCGCACAGAAAGTTCACTACATTGCCGACAAAAAGTTGTCCGATCAGAGAACTTCCATCTGCTTTTTCCCCTGAACATAACCGTTGTACTAATCGCTGTGACGTCTCCAGACTTGATTGACATTTGGCTGAGCAGCTGCCTGTTCCCCCAATGGCGCGAAAATCATTGAGATCGCAGTTGTTGACTGGGGTACTGTACGCAAGCGTACACGAGGACGAGAAGCCGATAATGGCCTGGATGGAGGGGTACGACACGCTGGCAGACGAGCTCCGTATTAAGGCATGGAAAATGATGGCCAACATCAGTTGACACCGTATTCGTAGTTCCATCGCGAATGCACTTGCTAGTAAATCGGGGTAGGAGGTTGAGGTGAGTGTCTCGAGGGAGGAAGGAGGGGTTCAAGTGTTGTTGTGATAGAGGGTTGGGATCTTGTTTCTGTGTGCGGCAGAATTTAGATGTCACGAGTCAGTGACTGGTTCACTCGAGAGAACCCTCCAAAGTGAAGTTTGAATGGTCGACCAGATCAAATCGATGCGCCAAAAGTCAGCATGACCGTCACCGCCTCTGGAATAGACGTCCCTGCATCGCCGTGGGTTTCGTAGAAGAGAGTCGACAGAGGTGAAGGTAGAGGGCCGCAAGGTAAGTCTCGATGTCCCCTAATACAACGAGGTCTTCCTCACTAACAAAATTTCGATCCGTCGCTGGCGCCAGTCAATCGTATCCTTACCACTGGCACAGAGGTCAGGCGATGTTCACACCCACTCTACCCCGTTCGCCAGAAGATCAACACCCCCTCCTACGTCACTTGGAACTTCCGACGGCCGGGATGTGACAAAGTAATCTGGGAGACGATGATCTTGTGAGGGATGCCAACAGATCTCCGCCGATCGCAATCAAAGGCGCTCAGCCTCGCATGAAGCCAAAAGCTTCGTGGATGGATACTCGAGCGGATCCAAGCCGGTGACAGCCGATGCTGCGTGTTGAGAGGGTACAGCTCGAGGAGCGGTTGGATGAAAAATGTTTGTCCCGTCTCGTCTCTATTGTATCAGATGGCCGTCTCTTTTGACTTGGCTGAGAGCCTTGTTCTTTTCCCACCGAGGATTGCCGAACGTCGAAACGAGGGTAGAGGAAGGGAGTCAAGACAGCAGTAGGATCCGCTCGCTTCTTCGACTCTTATCTGAAGGGGTTTCCTGAGGTCGGGTGAGAATCTTTAAAGGATATGGAAGGTTCAGCCTCTTGCAACAGGTGCACAGAACACGAGAAACAGGGGATTAGGCGTGTGCTTCACCATCGGGAGAGCGCCAGTAACCTCCGGGAGCGGAGGTGATTGTGAAGAAAGTTGGACCAGCGTGCCCTCCTGCATGGTGCATGGGCATAGCTGGGACGGCGGCATTGTTCGGGGCGGCTGGCATGAGGCCTTCTACGAATGGTGCGAGGACACCAAGCTCATTCTGCGACACAAGTGACCCTGACGCTATGCTGAGGACGACGGTGGATGAGGTGGATGATGAAAACTTGGAGCAGAAAGTGTATGATCGCCAGGTACAGACGCGAGTTGATTGGGTCAAAGAGCAGCCGTCAGGGGTGCCAGGGGTTGAGGCTCGTGGCTGCGGGATTCAACCCGCGACATGCGACGCATGCGACGTGGACGAGCGGCTCCTTTGCCAACCGCTTTACAGGGTTATTTGTTATTGTCTTTGATATGTATCCCCATGGTTGCCTTGGACGAGCACATACCCTAGGGTTCGTGTTCCGTGCAGAAAACGAGAAACACATCGCCCACAAAACCACAAAGAGCTTGCATATTGCTCGGTATTATCCATCCTGTCAACTGTCGCCCATCGCGTCCTATCATATTTCAGCGCTCCTTGACTTTTGCTACCAGCCAGTCACTCCACCCTATGGAATGAGCACTCCTCGGAACCGAACCTTGCCGCTGACCATCTTCTCCATGGCCTCGTTGGCCTTGTCCAGTGGGAATTTCTCAATCATAACGTGCACATTGTGTATTTGAGCAAACGAAATGGCTTCTTCACTGTCAAGAGCGTGTCCACTGGGCCATGCCTGAAGGCTGAGGCCCTTGCCCATCATGAAGGCAGTATTTACTTCGACGGGGGCTGTTGCTGCCAGGATAATGAGCTTGCCCACCGGCGCAAGCCCAGCGAGCAAAGAAGGAATAAGTTTCTCGTTGGGCGCGGTGAACAGAATACACGCTGCGCCTCCCAACTTCTGCAGCTGTTCACCAATGTCGCCCTGAGATGCATCGATGTATTCATGAGCTCCCAGCTGGGTGGCGAACTCCCTCTTTTCGGAACTGGAGGAGATGGCGACCGTCCTGTACCCCATCTTACTGACATACTGCAATGCAAGATGTCCGAGACCCCCGAGTCCCTGGACCGCAACGAGCGAACCAGCAAGGACTCTTTGTTGCCGCAAAGCTGTCGGAGTCGTCTCGTCAGTCTTGCTCGGTGAGTGCGATCGACAGGATAAGTGCAAACTTACAGTTGAACACGGTCACTCCGGCGCAAAGTACAGGGCAGAATTCAGCTGGGTCGACGTCGGTGGGTACTCGGACAACAGCCTCTGTCCTGAGAGTGACATATTCCGCATATCCCTGGGGAAAAATAGAGATTAGCGAAACGAGCATGCCATCGACGAGGACAGACTTACTCCATCCCTGGTGACTCCGTTGATTGCTGCCTTCTCACACATCTGGAAAAGCCCACGCTGACACGCAACACAGGTGCCGTCATGACCGCCGTGCCACGGTCCGCCGACGCGTTCTCCCACTTTCCAGCGATGCTCACTCTCCGGTACGGCAGCAACCTCGCCAATGATCTCATGGCCGGGGATGATGGGGAATCTGTTGCCCATGATTCCGTAGCGAACGACTTGGTCCGAGTGACAAACGCCACAGGCAAGGACCTTGACCAAGACCTGAGAATGTATAGCTTAGTATAGAGTTGACGAGGTGAAAGGAGTGGACGCACTTCGCCCGGCTTTGGCAGCTCCAGTTTGACCTGCTTGAACTTGAGAGGTTCACCTGCGGCCTCGAAGAAGCCGACCTTGTACTCCTTGGGAAGGTTTGAAGCCATTGTGGAAGGGAGGAGAAATGGTTGATGAAGGTGTTGGACAAGGATTGGTGATGAGATGCGAGTTTATATAGTTGCCCAACAAACAGTGTTTTGAGGCTTGAGATTGAGAATGAGATGGAGATTGAGAGTGTTCAGCACATGTCCTTTCCTTTCAACGACATTTATACCCCCCTCTCTCACCAGCTGAAGGACGGCCTCGAATGAAAGCGGGCGTGGGAAGTTTGTTTGTGAGTGTCAATGATGATGTAAAGGGTTGCGGCACAGTAAACTCCAGTAACTCCATATGCGCATCTCATCTACACATCTGCCCACGCCTGCAGCTGTCTACCAATGCTACTCACTCGCTCTGATGCATCCTTCGCGAAACTCTGGTCTCCTACAACTTGTGGTTGGTCGGAACGAGGGGCACGGATGTTAGGGACGCTCGGAGATGGATTGCACCCAGCCCAGTCACGCATCTCTGCCTTTCTCCTCCCCCACTGACCACTTACGACTCACCTGTCTCGCCACCATCCACTCACAGGCCCTCACAGACAGGAAGCGAACCCTTGTCTATCTCCGCGCCTCGGAAAACCGATTTTAAAAACCTACCACTTTCAGACAAGTCTGAAACACCCTTTCGAGACTGGGGCGAGTGGAGGCGAATTTTAGACGCAGCCAGGCTGCTTGCTGCGGCGCTCGGCCGTTTTGAGGAGAGATATCCATACTTGAGAGGCCGTATTCGGTAGTCGTATTTTGTCGAGTTGGTGTGGGATACGCTGATCAATCCATTCTCGCAATTGATACCAGAATAACCCTGTTCTTCCTGTTCATTCCCAGCGTGCGGGTTATTGGACACAATCTACAAGAGATGGCTCCGAGTGCTCTGGTCCTCAGGTTGTACATCAGCTCGAGTGCCCGAGGTTGTCCAGGGCATTAAAAATAATCATTGAAAAAGGGTAAAACCCTGGCTTTCAAAAGTTCTAGACTACATTTACTTTGAATTGCCAGTCCAAATTACTGCCGCAGACTGAGAATGCCAGGATCAATCATCACCACAAATGTCATCTAAAGTGCGTCTCGTCTGACAGCTTGCCACCAGCTTGAGGACGACTTCCAGACTCAAACTGCTCCCTGGCCAACGAACCGCGAATCATGGGGCTCACATCGTTCTCTGTCGTGGATCTCGTCAGTGTCGTTCCGGGGAAGCAGAAAAATACAAGTATCGACTGCCGCTGCGTCAGCCACGCATGAACAACTACCTCTTGAAGGCACATTGAAGCAGGCCCCGGTAACAACATGGTTTGACAGGCTGTGCTGAAAAGCTGGACGGTCAGGATTTCGGCAGCACCCTGGCAAGCACACCCTGGACACTGGACACCGGGCATGGACTGCCAATGACAGTGAGAACTCGCCCAGAAGTCAGCTCTTGTCTCCGTCATTCGTGCCCTTAACTGATCAGACGAGAACGGCGACGACATGCCTGCTTGCGAATCAACATTGTGGTTGTAGATACAGCAAGCCCTAGCAGACGTGCGGCCGAAGCTGCCCAATTCACGGCGTGGGCTGTGGCTCTCTGACCATGCAGAACAGGTCACAGACATCCCCTCCCTCCTCGCAGACCATCTTGCGGGCCAGTCGAAAGCCCATCTTCTCATATATCGCAATGTTGGGCTTGTCCCTGGAAGACTCCAGATAACACTGGCGGCCTTCTCTGTCCGCCATGTCGGTGACAATCTCGAAGAGCTGGCGCCCGATTCCTTTTCCCTGGATGCCCGGCCTGACGGTGACAATGTTGCAGAAGTAGTACCCTTCCGGGTCAGTCCAGATTTCTGACTGAGCAATGGCCTGCTCGCGCTTCCAGATCCAGTACCGATTCGTCCTCAACCCGCCACGGCCCTGGTACCGGAGAAGATTCCACCCCTGCTTGAACCAGAGGACGTAGTCGTCGATCCACTCGGACCAGGTCTGCTTCTGACTGATGTTTCGAGGCTTCATCCACATGCTGACTCCCAGCACTCTGCCTTCTTTGTCATCTGTGTCCTTGGCCACAAAGAACAATGCGTTGCGCATCCCCCACTCACATTTTGCCTTGAGACTAGCAAAGTTGCGCTCCTTGTTGAACTTTGCACCGTCAAAAACCCACAGATGATAGGGATCGTCGGCGAATGCAAGCTGGATGCATTCTACCACCGAGGGAATGTCTGCTGAAGTGATGGGCCGTATTTCAATGCCCATATTGCCTGGCTATCGGG